TACATGGTGGGACGAGAAGGCCGCACGAGTACTGCGACTACCTACCGCCAGGGCCAGACCGCCGGCGATTCTCTCGCGCCTCGCTCTCGTATACACAATGTTGTCGTACACCTCAACTGTCCTAGCACGGTATCGTTGTACCTAGTTTATTATTTTTGTTTCATCACATCTCATCGACATGTGTGTGCCGAACTACCGTTGCGAAACGACAAGTCGTCTCTTTCTTGTAAAAATTAAGAATCTCAATATTTTAATAAAGTGATCTCGATATTAAATTATATCACTGTCATATTATTATGATGCTACTAAATTATATAAGTGTATCACTTGCCACTCCATCACACCACACGTTGGGAGCGGACCACAACAGCGACAAAACGTAGCTGTAGCGGCAGCCGTGTTGAATTGGCTACCCACATAGGAATCACCTCGAGTCAGCGAAAGGGTAAGAGTTTTTCACACTGACACATACCTACCTCGGATTATTTGCTTACAATATTATATTAGTATTGAGATAATGAGATATATTTTAACCAGGGGTATGTTTTCAGCTGTTAGTTAGGATTACGTCGTAATAATTAGTATTGAGGTAGGTACGCAAGGGGAAATCCGTGCGACCGAGAATAACCTTGAAACTGCAGTGCAAACGGCAAAGTAATTAGGTACTTAACTTACCTCCACCCAGCCCGACCGCCACCATTCGTCACCAGACGATAATTTTATACTGCCGATAATAACGCAGCGCGTAGGCCACAACCTTGAAACCTGTCGCTGCCGATCCGTGACCTATTTATAGTCTCGCTATAATTATAATTATTAATTGGAACAGGCCGTCACCAGCTGACCATAATTTACGTAATCGTAGAATTTGTTTTTCTCTCGTAAAAGCTTCGCTCGTGTATTCAGTATTCACCCGAAATGTTCACTCTAATCCACTGTACTATAATTTATACTATACGAACATGAACAGGGCTTTGCACCGGAATCATTTTTCTGGTTTCGGGTGTTGAAAGAAAATTCGGGTTATTGAATTCTGGTGTTACGGGTTAATACACTTTCCTGGTTACGGTTAAATGCAAATTTATTCGGGTTAATTATAGTTAATACGGCTGCTAATAACTTAAGGTAGGTCTCGAACTCTCGTCCAACCTTAATTTAAGTATTAATTTTTCTTTTCTTAAGCCATAGTCTTGTTTATGAATAGGGCAGAGGACTTGTAGCTCTAAAAAAGCTCTAAATATGCAAGCACTTTTGCACTAAAAACCCCATAATATGCAGTTTAAATATGCATTTAAAATTTTTTTTAGCCTTTTTATTTAAATAATAAATACATAATACATTAACATTATTATTTATTAATTTATTATTAATTACATTAATACTAATTAATAAATTTTACTTCATTTTCTTAATGAAACGTTAGAAACTCTAGAAACGTTTTATAAATAAATCCTAATCGAATAAAAGCCCGCACGGTGTACACACGTATCTGTGGTGGTGATGTCGTAGGTATAGTGTACGTTAAAATCGTTATCGCTTCTAAGAAAAATGTGTGCCCGAGCACAGTCAAAAACCATATTAAACGACAAAAATTAAAAATAAATAAATTTTTATCCAAACATTTTGACTGTATTGTTTGAAATAAAAGTGTCACTGTGGAAAAAATCGATTCAAGTAAAATATATAATAGTGTATAAAAGTGTAAAATAAGCCCTACAAACCAAAAAAACGTAAAATATGCATTTATATGCACAATAAAATTTCAAAACTAGCTTTGTGGAAGCATGAAACGTATTTGTTTCGCACTCTGCTATTTTTGTAACTGTGCAAAAAAAATATGCAAATGCTACAAGTCCTCTGCCCTATTTATGAATGTTATTTGGCCCTAAATTGTGTAAAAATATATAATAAATTCTATGTAGGTATAAAATAAAAATGCATAAATGTAAATATTTTTGATCATAATATTTGGTCACATGTCTAAATTGAATAAAATTATAATAATAGTATAGGTATAAGTATAAAATAAAAATGTATAAATGTAAATCATTTTTTTCTAATTAATATTATGTATATGATATTTTAAAATGTATAATGTAAATTGAATAAAATGATAATAATAGTATATGAGTATAAAATAAAAATGTAGGTATAAATCAAACTACTTTTGATAATATTTGGACACATGTTTTAAATAAGTGAATCTAGAAATTTTATTATCGTTCAAATCATTTGATACATTTTTAATACTTTGTTTTTTTTTTGTTAAAAGCACTATATTTACTATTTCTCTCGATGTTTATTTCGTTTAAAATTTTTTTTTAAAAGCCTCTATTTATGACTTTTGAAGGCCTTTCCAATTCGTCTTCCGATTTTCTTTTGAGGCCATTAGAAAATGATTTTTTTGTTATACTTGATTCAGTTTCTTGGTGGTGGTTGACATTATGTGTACTTTCATCTTTTAAAATGTTCTTAACTGCTTGATCTACATAATATATTTTCGCAGTACACTTTTTATGTATGCACTGCCATTTAAAAGCATCCAAATATTTCACGTAATTTTTTTTATAATATTTACTATTATTATCCAAAATCAAATCATTTTTTCGTTCACTTGATATAATAGTAAAGTTCATTATAATTAAAAATGTAACAAATTGTAATTAAGATCCTAATACAAATGTGCGAGTGCATCTGTGTATGACACTTTATACTCGTGGAGCAATTTCGTTAACTAGATCGATACTGTCGAAACTGATCAGGAACTATGCGAGAAGTAACAAGGGAAGTCCATATTTTAACAAGCCAACATAAATATACTATTATTATAGTCTTATAATATTTTATCTTAAAGATAAGATTTCGGTTAGTCATAGGTAGGTAATCAGTATAATAAATACGTAGCGTAATACGTTATAGCAATAGGTACGGTTTGAAATAAAATGTATTTACTCGTGCGCTACACTCATAATATTATAAGAAACCTGATGGTTGTAAAAACATTAATTTGGCACAATATCAAAAATAGATTTATAGATTTATAAAATTTATAAATTCACTTATTAACTGTTTCCAAATATTACCAAAAGTAGTTATACACTTTAATTTTGAAGTAGACAATTATAATATTTTTATAACCGCCGTAATTATGACCGACCGTTTTTCGCTCGCGATCGACACGTAGGCCACACACAACGACCGGAAACCGAGTCCCGCTTTCCGTTATATTATTGTACGTCACAGGGAGTTGCTCCCCTAGTTCGCCGAACCGAGGGCTGAGGACCCCTTCAGGATTATAGAAAACACAAAATCGATACTAGGACAAGCTCGTATCCACCCCGCTGGTTGGTGTAGGGCGGTCGATTCTGTTTAATTCATAGATTCTAAAGACACGAATGACGAATCTTACACCATAATAATAATCAATTTTAATTTTTGATTTTACATTATTATACATATTTATTTATTTATTTATTTATTTACGGAATAAATCCATTTACAATATTAATATATAGTGTACAGTGTAACAAAACATATGATGAATATTTAGTTTAGTGATTACATATTATTTAAACCTAGATATAGTATAAGTATAGTTTACAATATATTAAACATAATTACATTTAGACTGAATTAACAGTGAACAATTAAAAACATTGAAACAAAACAAAAAATACATTTTAAATAATCAAACATTAAATGCTGATTTAATACTATTTATATTACAAAAAAACAAATCTAAATTAACTGAATTTGCAATAGACATCAGTGAATTTATTGGGGAGGAAAAAGAATAATTGGTTCGTATAATTTTCAAAGTGAATAAATCGTTATTTCTAGTTAAAATAATTTTTGCTTTAAAATGTAATCTTTCTAGTATTTCTTGGCATTCAATTTTGTTATTTAATAAATTAAAAAGAAAAATGTAAGCTAGATATTTTCTACGATTTCTCAAAGTAGGTATGTTGAAAAAACCAGATGTAGTTATAATTCACATTTTTCTAAATCATTGTCATTGCGTAACGAATTTATATTAGTAATTATAGGTAGGTACATATTTGATATTTTTTTTAATGATAGGCTATTGGTAATAATAGTTAATAGTAGTTACACATCTTTTATAATAATAAAAATGATATGATTAATAATAAATTATACAGTTTTATATTTTATAGTATTCATAGTCATTATTACGAGTTTTAACTCTTAAACATAATAATATCAATAATATACTAACACATTTGCACATAGTCAATACTACGAATTCGAATTCAAATTCAAATTTTAAAAAATTCTAATCTTTAATCTTTATTATAATTAAATGCAACTATTTGTACATATTCATAACGCGTTAATTTTTAGATTCTGAGTGTATTGGAAGTTAGTGGTTTTACAATGGTGTTTATTTATTTATTTTTGTTATCCTGTATACAAAATGTCTATACAGTGTATCGATTTCAACATATTATAATATCATATATTTTAGAAAATTGTATCAAAATGGTACCTTAAAGTTTAAAGAGGTAATTTTTCGAGATTCTCAATAGTTATCAATTGCAATGTCATGGGAAAATTACCATTGAATGAATATCACCAGAAAAAACTAGTAATCGATGCGTAACAATTCATTAATATTATGTCGTGGTGCACTGTCGACATTGTTAGTAATTTAAGCGTTCCTATATGAAGTTAACTCAAAATTCATAATTATTAATAATTATTTGCATGTACTTTGAACTGTTTTCCTAATCCAGGCACATGGTGCTCATTTTTAAACCAGAATAAAACTTTTAATTTCCATTTATTTTAATTTTATTGCCAATTTTAAATTGTAATATTAATTTTTTCATTGCTTAGAGTTTTTTAGGAATCTTTGAAAGACTTTTAAAGTTTTGAAACCAAATTAAAGAAAATATACTGAAGTTTAAATTGAACTAATTTTTGTGTATATATTGTACTTGTATATAATTAAAATGTTAATTGTTTTGCAGATCTGGAAAATGTTTTCTTTGCGAAAGTTAGCCTACTATGTTTGCGATGAAGAAGAAAGAATATTTTATGACGATTTAGAGACGATAAAAATCGACATTCAACATTGTTGTATTGATTTATTGAGATTTCTACAAAATGAGACAAAATCAAATATTATGAATGACAATATTGATTTAAACTATGGCGGTAAGTCTAAAGATAGCGTAGATAAATGATATGGTCTGAACGAATATAACGCAAAAAGAACGACTATGTAGCACATTTTTAGTGTCGAACTATTTACCCTTTTTTACATAACCCAACCACTGATCCTTATTAATTGTTGTTTAAATCAAAAGTTAAATACCACCCTGGTCAATCACCTTCATATCTCTTTAACCGAGCCTGCAGTATACATACGATGTCGATCGATCGTAAATATAGGGATTTTGAGCTCTGAAAGTATTTATTCAAATAGTAGTGCCTGGATGTTTGGAAGCTTTCTCCAAATATGTTGTTTAATATATTTGTTATAATGGTCAAACTTTATTTTATTTTAGAATACTCGATGATTGAGAAGGCCTCAGCTAGTGGACATCTGGAGTGCTTGGCGTTCGCCGAAAGTCGCGGGTTCCCATTTACGCGAACTGTATGCATGCTGGCGGCTGCCAATGGACAGCTCGAGTGCCTTCAGTACGCACACGACCGGGGCTGTCCATGGGACGAGTCGGTGTGTGAGTACGCCGCGGCCAACGGTCGCTTGGAGTGCCTGCGATACGCCCATGAACAGGGTTGTCCATGGGACTTGTACGCGTGTGAAAAAGCAGCCAGAAATGACCAAATTGAGTGTCTTGCGTACCTCCAAGACAACGGGTGTCCTTGGGACGAGTCCACGTGTGAGGCGGCCGCGGCTAGTGGGCACATCGACGTACTTAGGTACGCGTACGATCATGGCTGTCCCTGGGACTCGGCCACATGTCGGGAAGCCGCGGCCCACGGCCACCTAACTTGTCTTGTGTACGCACATGAAAATGGTTGCCTGTGGGACTGCACGACATGTGAAGAGGCCGCAGCCGGCGGCCACCTCCGCTGTCTAATGTACGCGCACAACAACGGCTGCCTTTGGGACATGTCCACGTGTGACAAGGCAGCGTCAAACGGGCACAGCCAATGTCTGGAATACGCGCTGGAAAACGGTTGCGAGTGGGACGGACGCATTCCATGGTAATAGGCAATATTACCTCCATGTATTATCATCTCCATATTCTGTCCACGTGTGCCTCTGAACTCCTCATAAATGGCTTTATCAATTTTGATTTTGTTCTATTAAAAATAAAACAACTATAGTGCATTTATTTTGTGTTTTCGAAATGTTTATGGCATAAAAGCATATTATTTAGGGGCATTAAAATCCCAGGCCTTATATTGTGTAATTTACAAAAATATTAATTATTAATTTTACTTTTTAACAGTTTTAATTTATTGTGTGTTTATACTACCTAAGAAGGTATAAGTCTTAGGTGGTTAAAAATGATATCATAAGTCGTAAGTTGTAAAGGATTGTAAGGTGTATACCTCCCCCAATAACTTAAATGATGACTATACCTGTGTGTTTTTAAAATTCAATAAAATTAAATTATTGTAAAAAATATACAATCAATGTTTGTTTGTTAGTATATTATTTGTCCACTTCCTAGGTGTGTTAAATGCGTATAATATAATTTCATTGATAAGTTAGCCTCCTGGCTAGTTGTTCACTATGCTTTGGTGCATCTTAGATACAAGTTCATATAAAAACAAAATCAACAAAACTCAAATGAAAGTAAAATCTTTTGAAACATAATAATACATTATTTTTAAATAAAATTTCAGCTCTTTATAATAATAATAATAATAATACAAAATTAGAAAAAAATACTTCTTTTTATAAATATAACAAAGTATTGAGAAAAAATTAATGAAAGTTAAATCTTTGAAAGCATAATGATAAATTATTTGAAATATACAAATTCAGTCTTAAACTTAATTTCATTATTTTATTCAGATTTCATTACAGTCTTCATCACAGGAATCAAGCATTTTTATTTTTGCATTCGATTTAATTGTTTTGATTTTATTGGATGTACAAAACAAGTATTTATACAGCATAAATCACGGGTAAATTTAATAAATCTAATATGATATATAGATTTTATTTTTAAGATTCCACATACATACGCACAACCTAACCTACCGTTTGAGGTAAGTAATAACATTTTTGAAACATTTGTACCTAAATTACTTTTAAGAGAGTATTTTTGGCATGGTTTTTTACCTCTGGCTTTAGACTATTAACTTCGTACACGGTTGACATGACAATATATAATATCAGATTTAAATTTAGCATAAGTACTACAATAGTTACACAAAAACAAAAGAAAACGGGAACATCACAGTTAGCACACGTAAGTAATTTGTCGGCATTATGAAGACAAATAGATCAAAATGATTGTAAATTCTATATACTAATTAAAGATAGGCTAAAAACACATGTCACATAATATCTCTTGAACCTCAATGTGGGACCAGTAAGCGGATTTCAGGAGAATGCCACTTTTGTGGAGTGATGTTTCTGTTACAACTTACGACAATATGTAAGCATAATATCTTTGTATACTTATTACTATTATTTATTAAATTTATAGTTTAATTTATATTTAAAATTATAACAATATAAAGTACTATATTATATTTTATACTAAAATATAACATGAACTGTATTACAAAATATGCTAGCTAAATTATTTTATCAATATTTATACTAAAATTCTTGTCCAAAAATAGCGGAATCGAAACAATTTCATACTTACTGGAAAATAAATATTTAATTGGTAAACGCGTTGAACACGTTTATTTAAATACAACTGAGTGAATCATTTTAATATTCAATTTGTTTATTTTTTATTTAATGACCTCGAGTAGTCTATAACTTATTAATTATACAACAAAAATAATAACTTAATACAGTAGACGCCGCTTATAAGACTCACGGATATAAGGTTCAGTCGCTTATTAGACTCAAAATCGTATGGAACGGTCCGGACGTATCCAAATACATTAAAAAAAAATCGGTTATAAGACTCAACACTTCAGTTATAAGACTCAAATTTCGTAAAATAAATAGTAGAAAATAAACTTTTTTGGTTATAATTTAGAAATTAATTTGTATTGAAAAATTAATTAATATTCGTGTTGATTATTTCTAGTTTCCGGTGGTACCTTATAACGTATAATAAAAATATATAATAAAATAATAAATACATTAAAATGTGTACATACATCCTTTATAATTTTTTATTAAATGTATAATTTTTATAATATTTTTATATGTAATATTTACCTATTATAATTTTAGTTTTTTTTTATCAGGATTATTAAATGTATTCAATAATAAAGTATGTAATATGTAAAATGTGTTAAAGTATTAAAATCAAAGCAAAATATGTAGTAAAATAAAATTTATAAATACGTAATTAATTTTTTTTTTCCACTTCGCCTATAAGATTCATTCGGTTATAAGACTCACTTTGTGCTGGTCCCAAAGTGAGTCTTATAAGCGGCGTCTACTGTATCTAATTCGGACAGCAATCATACTGTAATTTAAATTTTTATGTTTGTTATGCCCTAAAAACTGCAACGTCTAAATACAAATTTCGGTTACTTGCTTATACTTAGTACCATGCGTCACACGTCTTATATAAGACATCGGATAAATGGGTTCACGACAGTGGTGTATAGCTAAAAAGCCTATCCAAGACGCCGTGTGATTATAATATTATTTTATTATTCTTATAACATTGCATTATCAATATTTGTCTTAAGACTTGTATAACGTAGGTATTAGACAATGATATGTCATTATTATTGTATTTTTTCATGGGACTACCTACAGCCCAGCTTCTCTTAAAGGGTATGCTGTGAAATTTGAATTTTGTACAGTGATATCTATGTATTCATATGGATGATGTGTTTCCTGGTCATAAAGTATTTACTTATTTTTGTTAAATAGACAATATTCCAAACTGTGCTGTGGCTTATAATAATGAGTGGCAGTAGAAAACAATTTGGAAACCACTGCACTACACGGTATTACACATGAGAAAAATAAACTTATACATATTAGCACAATTATCAATACACTGTAAAAAAAAAAAAGAAACCCTGAACGTGTACTTAAAATCGTTTGTTATGGGATAATATCGTGTTTATTTTTATTCATGGTTGCACCCTTGTTCAAACGTTGCACTGGACTTTATGGCGCCGCCGAGTTTAATATATCAAACAACAATAATTTTTCCGTTGAATTTACAGTAATTCTTTATTATTAAAGTACTGATAAAATGTTAAATCACTTTCAGAAACATCTAATACACTATTTTTTTTAGACATTTCTTTGGGTAGTAAAAAGAATTTTTCACATTTTTTTTTTTGTGAAATAAAACATTTTAATGACGACATATTTTAAATGAATTCTTTTTTTCATGTTTCAATAGTTATATAACTAAATAATATATTTTATGGTCTATTTTTCTATCAAAAATTTGGTTTGTGAAAATTGTTAACAATTTATTAATACATAATATATAATATCACTAGAAAATGAAATTAAATATAAAACATACAATGTTTTTTACATGACTAGATTAGTATTTAGTATTAATACATTGGTAGCATTCCAAGACTAGAAACGGTTTTTTAAAAAATACATTTTAGTATACAATATTTTCTTATAAATTGTTTTACAAACTAAAAAAAATGACTAGGTATATAAATTAAAGTAGGTAACACATAAATTTGTTTTATAATAATAATAATGATAATAATATAATAATAATAATACTAAACAACTAAAAATACATTTAAAGTAACAGATAATTAAATTGCCAAGTATTTAAAAAAAGACGTGTTAGAATCTAAATAGATACTTATATATTCGCACAGAAAATTGCCCAAAAAATACAATCATATTCCAATATAACCTAAAGGTTATAAAGTATAAATATTTACAATATTTTACAACTAATCATGTTTGATTGTAGTTATTTTTTTAACGTGTTAATGTGCATGTGTATTAATAATTTTATTACAAGTAAATTGGATGCATAATAAAAAAATCTATGATACAAATTATAAATAATAATAATATTTTCTCGTTTTATTAAAAATAATTTACTGGCTAGGCAACCACACATACGCACTAAACTTACATTAAAATTGTATACTACATACTAATGGGTTCTTATAATGTACACGTGAAAAACAAAATATTCAACAGACGAAGAATCTGTGCCTTGGAAATCTGAATTTTAAATAAGGTTTTGAATTTTTTATTTGGAAATAAAACAATTTAATTTTAACAATAAATTAGCAAAAAATGCTCTCTAACCATAACTGGAATATTATTGACCGCAAGAAAAAATATGATGGATGACATTTTAAATATTTAACACAGTTATGTTGGATGTATATTTTTATAGACTTCAAAAGTTGAGACGAAAAAAGGAAATTAAAAAAAATTATTGTCAAAAACAAAAATTGCATTTGATTCGGATTATTGGTTTTTCCATAGGAGATTTTAAATAAAAAAATAATAAGTTAACAATCTCTGAGCAACCAAATTACCCCCAAATTTAATCATTATTATTAAGTTTGATACTTTTTTCTACTTCAAACACAATAAAAAATAAATTGAAACACAGCATTGTTTTTCGTTAAACCACAAAACAAAACTTAGGTAAAAAACAATAAAATATAATAAATAAATAACTAAAATTAAATTAATTAATAAAAAAAAATCACTAATTATCAGATTTGACATTAAGTCGATTGCACTAACTATTTTGACTAGATATAATGGAATGCTAAAGGTACCACTATATAATTTCTATTAGATACTAGGACGAGAACAAAACAATTTCTTTTGGAATTTCTATTTGGTAATCATTTTTGTGAAAAAATATTAATATTCAGTTAAAAATATTTAAGCTCTTTATAAATTAATTTGTTATAATGAACTATTTAGTCCATACTTTATTATGTTCTATATGTATGTTAGGTATTACAAAATATGATGACGGATTAAATTTTGGTAAAGTTTGTGAAAGCACATAGTTTCGATAAAAATATACTTCAAAAGAATCGTTTATAAATATGTTTTTTTTCAATTTTTATGTAAATTGAGCGGTTTTTGACTAGATAATTGATTCGATTGAACAATCGATAAAGGTAGTGGTTGGACCTTAAAAATATTATATACTTCTATAATATGACTACATATGCGAAGAGATCATTAGTTAAATAATTGTATAAACATCAGTGAAGTGGTTTTCGACGAAATAAATACAATAAGACGTATTAAAATAATAATATTTAAAGCGTAATATTATACCTATGGGTAAGGATGTTATTTAAAACAAATTTGACCGTTGGTATGAAACATTTTAAAATGAACAGTATAACGTAGCATTCATTTATTCATCCACGAAAAATAAAAATACATTTATTCGGTATAATCAAATAATGAATAAAACAGAAGTCGATCGATTATTTTTTTTTTTATAAAATGTCGGTTTTTTTTTTCAATAATTATTGTATGATTATGGGACGGGGGTTATGGTTTGTTTGAGTGATTCGATGAAATATCAATTGGGATAAATTTATCGGGAATTATGTTATGTTGCCTTACCATAATATATGTCGAGATAATATTTTTATATAAATAAAAAAGAAATAAACCTATCAACTTTTATAGTATATATATGGCCAGAAAATAAATCACATTTCGATATTGTACTCTAACATTTTGGAATAAATATCTATATTTATCCTAATTAATTATTGGTCACAACACTTCAGACTGGTGGTTACCCATATGTGTCCCTGTTTGCATGTTGACTACAATGTCGTCTTGGTGGTGGTTCGATGCCGCCATTACTTTTGGATCTTCGTCCTTCCACTTATCCATCGACCGTCTCCTGGCATTCATGAAGAAATTGCCGACTGTGGTCGGTTCCAGGCCCAATTGCCTAGCTATGGTCACCTGCATTTCTTTTGACGGCCTTTTCGTTTCCTACGAAAATTAAAAAAAGTTAGTTTTCACGTGTTTACAAACCTTTAATTGGTATATTTTATATTTTTGATTTTGTTTTTCGTTTATTCCGTTAGTTGCAATACAGATTTGAGATTTTGGTTTCATAAGTAAACTCGATTTGTTGATTAGTTTCATATATTATATTTTAGTTACATTATGTTTGTGGTGGAGGGTGGGAGAGAAATAAATATTGCTTTCATAACATGTAGTTAATGGTTAATAAGGTATCTTGAAAAAAATAGTTATAACTACTAATTCTGGACAATGGTGGTAAATATTTTATTTTCAAGAGTTTTAATTTTGATATCGTTTATGTTAAATAGTTGAGATTATGTTTTTCAATAAGTTGAACTTTGCCAATTTTTGCCCCGTTTTTATCGCTCAAGCTAAACGTTTTCTGTTTTATATTGTAACTTGAGTTGCAGAAAGTTTAATATTTCTCATTATTTTAAACAGATAATGGTTTTTAAGTACATATTTCAAACGTTTCTTGAAGTTGCTTAAAAAATAACCCGTTTAAATTATTATAGGTATGTACTTACCTTGAAAATAGCTTGTAGTGTTCGTCGTTGAAGATCGGTAAAGACCAAACGTGGTTTTTTGGGTGCAGATGAATGATCTGGAACAATAGGTTGGACTTCTTCTTTTCGTTTGCAAGGAGCTAAAAAAACAAAGGTACATAATTAAACAAATTAGTATTAACCAATTATTTATTAACTGAGATTAAGTCTGGGTAAAAAGTTAGATTACCAAGTGACATTTGAATTTTAAATACATACCTATTCGAATACTGTCTTTTAAAAATATTTGAATATAAATGCAAAAAGTATTCAAAATACTTAAGAGGTGACATTTTTTTTTGTTTATTAAAATATTCATGAATTTTATATAGGTACTTAAAATGATTAATACATATTTAAATGAAGTAATTAATAAATACATTCTTTAATTGGTTCAAGAATTTCAGATGTCACATACCTATTACATTTTAATTAGGTCAAGTTAAACTTCAGTTAGGTAGTTACTAGATATACATTTTAGCTATCAAGTCATCTGTGTATTTGATGACATTTTTTAAACTGTTAAATAATATATTTTTTTTTTAAATCCATTTATTACTGCTTCAACATTATAGTCATTAGCCGGGAACAAAAACATATTTACATGTAATTTACAATTACAATCATCATAATATTTAAATTAAGGTAATACAGTACAACGGAAATGGTAAAAATAGTGTAAGTAGTAATAATACATATTTTTATTAACTATTTAAATTCTATTGTATAGATTGGTTATTTTAAGCAATGTTATTAAACAGTTAAAATTGTCTATACGTAAAATATCTTTTAATGGTAGTTGCGGAAAAATTGTTCAAGTGCTCAGTCGGATGCTCTGGTTGTGAATTGGATCTAATGATTTAAGTATTGATTCAGGGGCTGCTCCGTAAACTATGTCACCATAATCGATTATGGATAGGACTAGACTTTTATATGTAATGTTCTGATTATGATAATGCTGTTAGCTCCCCATGCTCAATTAGATAGGGCCCTGATTATATTTAATCTTAATTTTGCCTTAGTTTTTAAATGTTTATGTGATTGGACCAATTCAGTTGTTTGTTTATGTTTAATCCTAACATTTTTAAGTCGTTTGTGTGCGGGATTAAAATATTGTTCATGTATATTTGAGGTGGGATTATATTTGTTTTGTATGAGAAAGGATGATACTTTTGGATTTTGCTGCACCAAATTTGAACCCCGTAGATTTTTCCCATTTGCTAATTTCATTGATGGTGTTTTGCATGAGTATTTTTGATGTGTTTCTATTTCTTCCTCTGTAGTATATAGTACTATCTTCGGCAAACATAATGGTTTTGACTTTTGAGTGGTGGTGGCATTATACTTGGAAGTTCGTTAATAGCTATTATAAAGAGAGTGACACTTAAACTTGATCCTTGGGGTATGCTATTTTGGAGAATATGGTTACTGGAAAAGATTTCGTTTAATTTCACTGAGAAGGATCGTTTTGATAAAAAAATTGAGATATAGGCGAGTGTATTGCCATTAATTTCATTTTTTTGGAGTATATCTAATATTCGATGGCGCCAAACCATATCGTAGGCTTTTTCAATACCAAGAGAAGTTAATAGTACGTGTTGTTTGATGTTGAAGGCTGAGTATATGTCTTCTGTTATTATAGTTAAATCATCTATGGTGGACTTATTCCTTCGGAAATCAAATTGTCGATTGCTGGTAAATTTGTTTGTTTTAAAGTCCAATACAATCTTTTGCTAACAATTTTTTCGAGTAATTTGCTAAGGGTATTTGCTAAAGATATAGGGCTATAAGATGTGACTTCATGTCGAGCTTTGTTAGGTTTAAGTATTGGTATAATAATGGATATTTTCCAAGATGTAGGGAAAGTCCTCTTCTCCCATATTAAGTTGAAGATTTTGAGTAGTATATAGGTGGGACTGTTAGATATATTATTAACCATTATTTTAAGGAAAATTATTTAATTATTAAAATACGAAACAAACATATTAATCGTTGAAATACAACGATAAAAAGAGAAAAAAATTTAGTATTCTGGAATTTTATTTATAAAATTAACAATACATTATTTTAGTTTTATATAAAGAAAAAGTATTTTTTAAGTATTTAAATTACATTTGTCAAAAAATATTTGAGAAGTATTTGAAATTCTGAAAACATAAAAGTATGTTTTCAAATACTTAACAAGACTGTACTTATATGTGAATTATTTACACATTCACTTTGATGAGCTCGATTTCTAATAATTTTACGTTTTTTTTTTTCACGAATCGTGTATTAGTAGGTACCCATAATAATATTTCCAAAACGTTATTATATTATAAACAAAATTAAATCTAATCAAAAACTGTCCCGGAAAAATAGGATTGTTAAGAAAAATATTAAACTTGGTAGGAGATTTACTTAAGACGCGTATAGTATGTACTACGTTTTCCACAAATTGTTAATTTTAGAGGAAGTTGATTCTTTTGATGTAGGAATGTGGAATAAATATATAAGTAGGTTTGAAAACGATAATAGTTTTAAAGAATAAGCAGCACCAGTTAAAAGCTTTTTGTTTCGGGGAATAAAGTTTTAAAATCAAAACATTATCTCCAAGTATGAACAAAAAAAAAAAAGTACATTGTGAAATTGAAATATTTTTCTTCTCTTCGTTTTAAATCTAATAGAATATTAATTCGGTGGATAATTAACGCAGGAAAGCCACATTAGTGAAAAATAAATAGATTGTACTTAAAACACTCTAGGGATTGAAATAGGTAATATAATAATACATAATATACATTAGGTATTTTATATTCTAACCCTGTACTTTTTACTAATTACTAATTATCTATTAAAATAATAACTCGATGACCCAGTAATGCGTAGGTGATTGAAACAGAATATTTCTTATCCATATCATATTTTTCCATTTAAAAATATTAAAATCACTGTGACAGAACACTGTTTGTCATAATATTATTACACGAAGAGCGGTACAGTAAACGATTTTAAAGTGTCCCTACACAGACATTTTTTCAAAAAACAAATATTTCTATGTTTCGTGATGAGTACGTGGTGAGATAACCTAATTTAATGTTTTCAAGCTTATCGTGTATAATTATTGCTTTTAAGTTCCTGAGGTGCGTTCCACGTAAACACCCACTTAAGTCTAGTAAACATAATATCATTAACTAGTTTGTAAGTATTGTTTTGATTTAATTAACTTAATTTAATCGACTCATTATATTGATTTTAAGTTAATACATTTTCATATATATCTAAGCGATGTTTAGAAGATATATATTACTTTATGTAATATATTTTATAAATATCACAGTGAGTCACTGAGGACATAAGAAGTAGAATGTGTTGGTACTATTATAAGTAATTGGTAATTAAGTTAGATTAAAAGTATAAAACACATATCATGATTGTATATTATATATATTATATTTACCTAAATACTTGTTTTTATGTTTCTTATTTTATATAAATCGTGTATTATATTACATCTGCACAACAAAATATCAAAATAAAAAAATTTGAAAACAGTTTAACTAAGAACTTATTTTTTTTATTAAGCTAATGGTTATCTACGTTATAAAGTGCAGTATATCTATTTTATTATTTTTATTTTAAAACATGTCAAATTTGTAAGACATTAATAAAAATAGAATAATTGACTTTCAAAAAGGTTTCATCAAAGATAAACACTACTAAAGCAACAATATTTAATACTGAATTTTTTAGTAAAACTTTGTAATAAAAAAAAAATCTAATTTATCATAATATTATATTATAATTGTTTTTATTATTATTTTTTTTTTTAAAGCTTAACTTAACTTTTTAATTAAAGTTCATGGATTGAAAATTGAAACACGGGCAAACAATAAAGGTCGTTGTTTAAATTCCTTAACACTTAGGTGATATTTGAGATTGTTAAAAAACACCATGAAATATATTATGTACACGGAATGCACATATTTTTACGAAAATCTCAACTTTTATTAAGTAAACCGAGCTCCTCCACTTAGAAGCGTTTTTCTTAAACTGTTTTTTGCATGGCTTCAAATTTAAACACACTTTCCCCCGTGGCCACTAGTTTTTCAAAAACAAATGTATTACACTTACAAAGGTTTTATCAGTAACTACATGATTTTATTTACAAATATTACGTTTACCATAAAGGTGATTTATAAACGTATGGGTTATTAGTTAATTTCAAATGATAACTTACGGTTTTGCTGTGGAATTTGAGCTACTGCGACTAATAAAAAGAAAACAAAAGTTACACCCATTTATTTCGATGATAAAATTACAAATACTTAAGTTATTTACCAATTTTTTTTTATATTTTTAACTGTCTCTAGATGTTTTTTAATTTGATCGAACCCAACAGATAATAATAGGTATCTATGTTTGGTCATATATGAATTTATTGTTTCAATACGATCAATTATGAACCTAGTTGTAAATTGACTACTACCTATATAATTACGCAGAATAACCCAAATTGAATAAAGCGTGTGTGGGCGAAATCATAGAAAATCAGAACAGGGACGAACACGAGCAAACATTTTGATTGCACTGGAATATACCAGCCAATGCTTACAATGAATATAATATGTGGACGACCTGAGTGATTGGATTATGGTTAACGGAATTTGTTAGGATACAAAAAACCATCCTTTACAGTTACACATAGCTCTCCAAAATAGATGACAATATTGACGTTAATTTTATTGTGTCGTAGATACCAATAAAAATAACTTTGCGTTGACTGCATCGTTTAACATTCGAGTGAAATATTGATTTTTAAATTACCTTAAAGTTGCAACAAAAGTTATTAGTGGTTTTTCGGTGAAACGTTTTTAAAACGTATGAGAGAATAAGTTAAAACTTCCTTCCACAAACATTATTTTGATAAAGAAATTTATTTTTGACTCACGTGGCCGTTCAGTTTTGTTTATATTTTTTCACATTTAATATTCTATTATAATGACATGTTTTTTTTTTTATCCTGAATAGGGTAAAATAAATATTGTTTTCCTAATATTTAATTCTCGTGAAAAGACAAAGAAACTTTGAAGACTAAAAATACTGTTAGAAAATTCATAATTTAAAACGTGTTTATTAATAATATTTAAATTAAAAAATCTTTGTATGAATAATCGTCTTCGTACTTATCTTTTATAATCTTAGAATAGAGGTACTGATCTGTTTTTAATATTATAAGTTAGGTATAACTAATAATTCAAATTAATGGCGATTAAATGTACATGGCACACATATAATACCATGGTATTATTATTATGAGTAAAAAATATTTATATTACAATCAAAATTGTCAGTTAAACCAATATATATATATATTTGGTGCTGAATGTTATGGTTTAAATTTTTTAAATCATGAAATTTTATTATAATTTTTTAGAAAATTTAGTTTTTTAATTATTTTTGTGAATTTAAACAATAAATAATTTTATTTCACTTATGATTTTGAATTATTGTTCAGATACGTGAATAAATTAATCAGACTACAAACGTTAAAAATAAAACAATTTACTAAGTTATTTTGATTAAAGTATGAACAATTAAACAATTTAAGTCAGGATGTAAATAAATAGATAACAATTTTTGGTATTTTAAATAATTTTAACCCTTATAATAACATTATGAATTCAGTATTTACAACTGTTATATATTACTAATTAACCAACCTATATTACTATGTGTGGTAGGTATCTATTTATATATTTTATTAAAAGCAAACAATTGGGTATAATCACGAAAAATAAAACCAATTATTAAAGAATGTAGGTAAATCAATATTGTATGGTATGGTACCTTTTCAAAATTTAGTATCTAATAGTTACTGATTGGATATGATGTAATAAAGGAGAGCTAAGCAAAATCAAATTTAATTTTAATATTATTTTGGATGTATACTTATTATTATGTTGTAGAATAGATTTTGATTTATTTTATGTTATGAAATATAATATTTTTTTTCAAGTATTTTATTTGCATTTCCTTCAATACACAATTTACTTAATATTGTTACTTTTGTAGTTGTGGAACCACAAGGCAAGAGTACATTATTTACGCATTGAAAACAAAATATTTGAATAAGATCAAAGCTGAAACACAACCCTTGCTTTTTAAAAATGTAATTCCATGCTTATAATTCGTGATTTTATTACTTTTAGAAACTATAATATTGCATTTTTTTACTGTTTAATTTTGCTTTTAATTATAATATTAAGATGTTCTCTCAAAGAATATAGGTATCTACGTTTGTCGATTGACAAGGAACGTATATATTACACCTAATATAATCAAAATTATTGTAAAACTAAAATACTCTAATCTATACGCTATAATAATATAGTGTATACTTATGTAAAAAAAAAAAAAAAATAATAGTACTGACCCATGTTGTTTATGTAACTTCCGACGTTTGGTGTTGGAACATTCTGCAGTCCATTTTCTGCCAATAACATACCTGCAAAATAAATAAAACGTCATCTATAGTTCACACAATTGACAACTACAACTCTCTTTCTTTGTTAATAATAATAACGATGAGGTGCCATCGTTACGCCATAAAAATACAAAACAAAAATCAATGACTGTTAATTTTAATCTCGATGAAAAATTACCTTTTAAATAATTATAGTACTATTATGGTATACACATCGTTACATAAATATTAAATATATCAGATTATTAGAACCAATAATAGAATTGAACTGCTTTTAAAATTAAAATAATATTAAGCCCGAGATGGGTACGGTCCCGTCTACGGTGTTATAGTTCTACAGCGGTCTATATAATATTTAGTTACTATTATAGAGTTACAACTAAATTATTTATCCAAAGTGTGAACCCGAATAATAGACTTTTCAGTTTTTACAACTTATAAGAGAAATAGAAAACATTACATTTTTACAACCTATCGCTGCTTTGCCACATGATAAATATTATTGTTCAACGAAAAACTATACCGAAGACAAACAAAACACAATAATAATTGAGACGACGACGACGATATTGATCATTTTTTTATTTGGCTATGAGAAAAATGGATTTGTTGCACTCCGGTGATGGGCAATTTTCCAACAAATTCCTATACCTACAGCGTTTGTTACATAACGATGTACCAACAACCTGTCTACGTGTTTTTAAAAGCACGTGAATAAGTATATTTGTAAATTAAACTTTGAAATCAATTTCCCTAGTTTTATCCGAACATTCCCACATTTATTGTCAATTGAAAACGAAACTAAATCAATTTCGAGCTCAAAAATAAATGAACGCTCCCTCGCATGTACGTGTTTTTTAGTACCCCATTGAATATAACACACTAAAACGTCGCAAGTAATATCGATTAAGATTTTTTATAGTTGATACGATAATATAAATACGTACACGAAGAAATAAAGTAACGTAGGCACGTCGCGAATAGTTGAGTACCTACACATATATTTTATAATATTATAAGTTGTTAACTTTGCCATTAATGTTTTAAATAAAGTGTTTGCAGGAAACGTAATAATTGCCCAGTATTTGAATGTCACCATTGGATACTCGTCGTGGGTTTTTTTTTACTAATAATAATATAGCGTCGGCCGTCGAACAATAAATAATAATAGTAGGTAATGATAATAATAATTTAATATTATTGTACTGTGATGTGTTGTACTTCATTGAAATATAGAACTGTCTTTGTCAGCCATGAAAACTCGTACCCGATGATAAACTATTTCGTATTTTATTGTTTCCAAGTAGGTATAAGCTGACGGAAAAATAAATTGAGATGCACGCATCCGTGAGAGATGAAATTTGAACTGTATGTACCGTCGATCGCAGCTGAATTTTGCCGGATGATTATTTGGCGTTTCCAAATAGTTGTGTAACTATGCTTTCTTGTTATCCGGATATCGCTCTACAGTCTACGGATATAATATTATTGTTCGCGTAAAATATTAATAATAATAATAATAATAATAATATTAACAGTTATACCTAAATACGAAGAAACACGAGAGTAATATAAATACTTTGCTTCATACCAAGCAAATAATACATAAATTATTACAACATTTTAAGAACATCTAAATTTAATATGATATTGTAAAGAATTGTTTAAATATTATCAAAAAACCGAATAAAAGAGAGTAATACTCCGATTTGTTATACATTAACAATATATTATACCTAAATTAATGTTGTAATATCTTTTTTTAAACTACACAGGTACTATAAGAACTTTTGTCACGAGTCAAAAGTGTAAATTTTTAAATACCACTGACAATGGTATGAAAATAATGCACTTGACTGTTAACACTGCTGCAGTAGACCACGATTACGCGACAATGACGATTTCGTGTAAACACAATAATATAAGCTTGTAAAATACTAATTTTTTCCCTCTGTAATTTTTCGACGTGGAATTTAATTATTTTACTCTCGGTGTAGGTTGTTGAATGAAAAAAAAAACGGTTCAAAGCCTATAAATGTTTTCGACTGAAGACATTTTATGTTTGTATTTAATTTACATATTATGTTATGTCGGTATGTCGGATACAGAAAAAGTCGTTGCAATATAATAATTAGAATCATCAAATTTACACAAATATACAACTACGTTCAACGTTGTTATAATTGTTGTCGTATACTCGTTATAACATTTTAGGTTAGTTTATATAACACTGCAGAATTCGAAGTCATGCAATTTTACTCAATGTTCTTATAAAAACTGAACCAAAACTTATGTCCTCCGTAAAATCGATAAAAAAAATATGTGCGAAGTAGCCGCCCCTCATCGTCGATTACAACTATTGACATATAAATTATATGATATAATTAATAAAAAATATTTTTTTTACATAATTAACACAATTTACATTCAATACCTTAATATTTTACATACTATATCTATAAAAAAAACGGAGTAAAATACACCCCTGACAAACACATACAAAACCGTGGTAATAAATTGCACGGTCTTGTCATATTCTTCTGTCACCACATTTAATACGGGCAACAAAAATTCTTATTTTAAATAATTTTTTTTTTCAATAATATTTATTGGGTTCAATTTTAGAAAAAAAAATTATATTTACTTAATAACTACGTCTTAATGAGGAATTTAATTTAGTGGACTTGGCAGAGTTGTCAGTTGGGTCCTAACTCTTAGCCTCAATATTTGCACCGACGGTTAGGTGTACGCATAGTTTCTAACCAGAGAATCGTTTCCATTTCAATACCGTTTTCCCGGACAGCATATTTTAGAATATTAACGATCGTGTTCCAAAATATTTCAAAAACATTCTAATTATGTTAATATTTTTTAAAACATTTCAAAAAGATCATAATTTATCAAAAATATACGCCATCTGTTATTAATCTTCTTGTTCTGTCGCCAGTGGACTTTACATTAATATGTATAGGTGACACTAGTCTAAACAATTTCGTACGAAACTGTCTAGTTCCGAAGCCGGCGTCGTGTTGGATTTCGATCATTTGAAAACCAAAAAAAAAAAAGAGACATACATTATTGCACAAGAGAGTGGGTGTTGTAGACACTGTAACACCGCTGACACGACGATAAACATTGCAATCGTATTGGTCCTGTGCACATACGTGATATTGCTGCTCAAGTAGGGCGTCCGTTCTGATTATTCTCTTGCCCAGCGACCTTCCCGCTTGACCATACGTTCGCCATACTCGTTTGTGCATAGTGTAAACTTTAAGTTGGGTCTTATATGCGTATACAGTAATTATGGTTAACCTAGTCCTGTAGTGTCATGGTGGTAGGTAGCCAGGTAGGTAGGTAGTTACGCCGTTAGCCGATTTACTTTTATTCGTTGTAAACATAATAATATATACTCAAAATCTATTATACAGAATTCAAAAAATAATTTCATTTCGAGAGATCGGGGAAAAAATATATACAACAAAGAGGTATTTTTCATTTAAATATTTAAAAATAACTTCAATTTTATATTCAAGCCGTGCAAGAACTGACGTCCTCTTAACATTAAAAAATAAAATTATTGTAAAAGTCAATGAAATAATAAATTTCAATATTGTAATAATAAATAGGCGTGTGCTGCTGCCCCTCGTTAATTTTATTTAGACAAATATAAGTAAAAATTACTGATCTGGAGCAACAAAAATAATCATCATGAAAATTTAGCAAATTCGTTACCTTCTGAAATGTAGAGTATCATTTAAAAGGATTACTAACTACCTATGTATTATTATATAGCGTATAATATTATGAAAACAGGTGACACAACTGTAGGCACTGCACCTGCGAGATAATCACGATTCACGACGTTAAATAAAATTAAAATATCTCAGGGAATTGTTTACATTCATGAATGATGTTTAATTATAATTTATAATACAATTATATAGGTACCTAGTCCGTATAAAAATACCTACCTATCCCCCACTGACTATTCTGAGCTATGAAGTTATTATTTAGTATTTATACAACTCTAATGTAAATGATTATATAACAAAGAGGTATTTTATTTTAAATTTTAACTCGTCACAACTTTCAGTTTTTCGATGTTTTTTTCATTTTTTTTACCAATTACCCACTTTGTATCTTGTGAGCACTGGGTTTAATTTATTTTTTAGATGTATTTTTGGAACTGAGTGGCATTATAGCACTAGCTGTTAAGTCACACTATGACGTGTGATGGTTTTCTTTTTCCTATTCAACCTCCCACCCAACAGGGGTTAATCATGTCCTTCGTTCATAGCTTATCGATATTGTTTTTTCCCGCGTTTGATACAAAAGTTTTAGTAATAACATTTTTGACGTATTGACTGGTTTAGTTTTTATTGGTTCTAACCCAATAGCGCAGTGAACCAATATATTATTGGTTCTTAGGCCATGCGTTTTCACTCGCGGTTGTTAGAAAATGTCAATATCTCAACATAAATATCAATACCTTGACGTTTTCTTTTAACGTTTCATATATTTAAGTATACGTATCCATATGTGGATCAAGTAAAAAAAGGGAGATGAGGGAGATGATCTGGACAGACAGACAAAATTAGACCTTCATTATAGGAGTTACCATAATATTATAACTGTGAATATTGGACAACGTAAATCGTTTTGTGATGCATCTAACCTCATCCTCGCTCCGGAGTCTGGATACGTAATATTGTCAATAATATATTAATATCATATTACAAGGACACGTGATATATTTTTAAATTTTATTTCAACTCCAACTCTTTTAAATTTTCTACCCATCTATTATAATATTATAGCCCTATTATTGAGACACGGTAACAAAAAGCTGAAAGACATTTTTTTATTCAAACGTTTAGCGTTAGGTCACTATATATATATACAGTACACTATACCTATACAATATAGTAGGTACCTAAGTACTTCATGAACACTTCACGGTTTTTAATCCGTTTAACATCAAAGGACCTACCAGTTATAACGGTAGAGAGTGAAATATATAA